ATATATAAAAGGTTAAAATGTTGATCCTGCCCTATCTCTTTATTGTATCTATTTTCCTATATCTCCTCCCTTTAACAGTTAAGATCTCAAATAATTAGTCTAAGATATTTGTCTCCATTTTTTTCCTCTTGGGTTTTTGTCAGCTAAAGCTTTAATCTGTATATTGTTCCCTAACTCCACTGAAATTACTCATAATGACGTACTGATGATATACATACTGACAAGTCCAATAGAAAAAAAAAGTTTTTAAAATTTGAATCTAAGTGAAAACAATGGCTACTTTCTGATCGCTCACCTGATCACTCCAGAGTGTTTGGCATCGTGGACCCTGCCTGTTCCTTATGCTTCTCTCTGCCCTCTTGGCGTCTGGGAATGAATACACTGTTGCTTGTCTCTCTGGCTATCCCTGCTCAGGCTCTCTCATTGAGTTCTCTGTGTTTTTTCATCTCATATCTTTTTTCTGTTCTTACTCCTTTTCCTCCCTATGTCTACACATTTCCTACTTACCTCTTCCTTTCTTGTGGCTTTAGATGGCACCAGTCCCTGGAGACTCTCCCTGGGTATTTCCTGAACACCAGGACTACCAATAAGAATTTCACATGTAGATTCTCAGGAACCTCAAGTCATTGTACTTTTCCGGAACACCGTGACCTTCCCCTCCAAGTGTGTTTCCCTTATATTATCCTATATTTGATAAGCACAGGCATCAAATTAATTACCCTAGCCAGAAGCCGAAGAGTCTGTCCAAATTTCAACCTCTTCATCCTCACTCAATCTTATCACCAAACCCTATGACTTCTGGTTCCTAAAAATCACCATGTGTACCCCCTTCTCTCGTTTTCAATGACAAGATTTTAGTTTATTTAGGCAAAGTATTTTTATTTTTAATTTTATTTTCATCACACCATTTATTCCCCGAAACCCTTCCCACCTCCACAGACCCTCCCCAAATCACCACACTAATGTCAATGAGTTCTTTTTTCCCCTCAATTCCTTGACCCTCCACACAGCAGACCCCCACCTTTGACAGCTGTCAGTCTGCTCTCTATCTATAAGTCTGTCTCTATTTTGCTTGTTAGTTCATTTTGTTCATTAGATTCCACATATGAGTGAAATCATATGGTACTTGTCTTTCTCTGACTTGAAGGTAGAGTAGACAAGATCTGCTGAATAACTGAATGGGGGGATGTGAGAGGAGAGGACTCAAATATGTCTAGATTTTGGGCCCCAGTATCTGGAAGAATTTGGTTGTAGTTGATTGACATGAGGAAGATGTGGTCAAAACAGGTTCTTGGGGAGGATTAGGAGCTCAGAAGAGAGAAGGAATAACAGCCCAGTGGGTTCATAGCTAATTGAATGACAATGTCCATGCTACTGAATAGGTTGGTGCCAGCAGGAGGGAGATCTTGAGAGTGTTTGGAGGCCTTTGTGCACTGACCTGCCTTTTTTATTAGTGATTGCGGTCATTTTGCCATTGACACAATGCTTGAATGCTTTAACATATCAGATATACGCTGACCTATTGGGTGACAAGACAGAGTCCAAGGAGGACCTTGACAATTCCATAAGGATAGAATGAATCAAGCAAGATAAAGTTTAACCTAAATAAACACAAAGTCTTACAAATTTGATCTGTTCCAGCAATATTTCTTTGAGGAAGAGCATTGTTGTTAAAAGTGCATTGTTTATGGTCAAACAGATCTGGCCTAAAATCCCAACCTTCTCCTTTAGTCCTGCTTCCTTGATTAAATCAACTTCCTTATTAATAAAATGGCACAGTAAAATTTTCAAAAAGTTATGAAAATGAAATGAATACTAAAGTACTTAACACACTGCCTAGTACGTATATTTAATAATATTCACCAATTTTGAATATACGATTTGATGAGTCTTGACAAATGTATGCACCGTAAACAACTAGAACATTTGTGCCTACATTTTAAAGTCTTCTAGTTGAAAACAATTGAATTCCTAACATGTTTATAAATGACACACTTGCAAGTTAAAAAATAGTTTTATTTAGGTTGAAAAGAAAAGTGAGGAATATATTTAATAGTTATTAAGAAAGGCAAGAGAATTTTGAAAAATCTATTAGATCATTTATTTGTCTTCCTTTTGTCCTCTAAATAAGATTAAATGCTTGCAGAAAATGAAGAACTTGCCAAGAATAAATTTGGTTTCAGGATACTTAGGGCTCTGCCTGTAACTGTTGATAAGAATCAGGTACTAATTCATCTTCTTAGTCTTGGTCTTCTGGTTTATTTCCTTTTTATTATAATATTTTTAGAATCAACATGTGGTTGAAGAATGGCAAGATGGACAGAGAGGAGAGTGGATAAGAGGTGATAAAACAGGGTTAGAGAGTTTCAGTGACTGGCCGGATGTAACCCAGTTAGAAAACTGGCAGAGCTAGAATTAAGATTCAGCTCTGGTTAACCACTTCAACCTCCTGCTTCCAATACCAGAGAGGCATCGAATACTCAAATAAATACCTTGAGAAGTTTTAGATTTAATTTTAGAGTAGAAAGCATTGATGTTCTCAGTGAATCCCTTTCTGACAATCTGGTTTAGGTAAAGGAATTTGCAAACATCCCCTGAAGTCTCTCCTACTCTGTAGTTCTGTGACATTGCTTCAGTTGTTTTGGCTTCAAATAAAAAGAGAAGATGATCAACAAAATGCCCTTTTATATATGTAAGAACCACATTTAGTGAAGCCATTACAGTATTGCTCAGGCAAGTCCATGGGATTTGAAAATAATCTTTTTCTTCTATTATAGGAATAAAGTCATACTGGGTTTTGGAAGTTATGTATTTAGTTAATAGACACAGGATATGGGTTCTAAAAATAAATACCATTAAAAAATTTTAATGACATCATCAGAACTATTTTTATAGTAATTATCTGACACTGGCTTTGATTATAAAGAGCTTCTATATGTATGTCCATTTCTTACACAATGCAATGTGAGACTATTAATTTCTTTTTACTTGGCTAACAGCTGATTAGCTATTAGTCATAAATATGAAATAAATCATTCAGAATAAATAAGGCACAAAATATATTTTTAAAAATATACTTAAGCAAGTACATCTTAGTGGTTGTTTATAACTTGCCTCTCTAATAAACATAAATTACTAAAATGCATTCTTATATCCATGATGATTTTTATTTTAACTGTTTTATGGGTAGTTGTAAAAAACTATTGAAAATTGGTGCAAGTTAACTGACCAACATAAGGATGGCAAATAGGTACTCTGGCATATTTATATTTCCAGTTTTTAAAGCTATACATAAACACAATAGAGAAAATGCATTTCATACAAGTGAAACAAAATAATTCCTGTGACTGCCACATATTTGTATTAAGAGTAGTTCAGATTTCCTCCCTAACCTAGTTCTCTACTTAAAAAAAAAAACTATTTAAATAAAAAAACTGAGAGAAAATCCTGTGCCAGTTGTGGTGTTAACAAAATCAGTTTATGTAGATGAGCTTTGTGTCAGATAGCTCATCTTGCTTTGTCCCTATCAGGTGATAGTTGCATATGAAATAAGAGAACCCAAAGGTTTTTTCTGGGCCTTCTCTTTCATTTAAAGAAAATTTCTTAATCGTGTCAATAATAAAAATAAAGTTTTAAAAAAAAAAGTAAGTTTCTCTTTTGAAGTCATCTGAGCAGAGGTGAGGAGCCAGGATTCTGGAACCCTACTGCCTGAGTTTGAATCCCCACTCTGCCCCTTCCTAACTGTGTGACCTGTGGCAGGTGCTGTGTCTTGTTTTCCTTATGGGGATGATAGTAGCAGTACATGGCTCATAGGATAAAATAATTTCTAGCACCTAGAATACAGAAAGCACTCTGTAAACAGTCATTATTATTGCACAAGCTAAGTGTTATCAGTGATCCTGGTATTGAAGTATAATACATATGCAGAAAGGCACTCATATCATAAGTGTTCAGCTTACAGAAATTTTATAAGCTGAACAACCCTGTGGTAACCAACACATAAATCATGAAACAGAAACTGTACCTCTTCATGCCCACTTCTAGTCACTACCCCTCTCTAAGGGTAACTAATATCTTGACTTCTGATTAGTTTCATTAATGGCTATTTGTTAAACTTTGATATTGCAGCAATTGATAAGGAACTTACTGTAATAGCATTTTAATTTTTATTTAACATCTAAGACAAACATATTTGCTTTAATCTTTTAATATTTATAATAATAAGTATAATACATATAAATAGAAAATATCAAGTATAAAATATAATATTTTAATGTATTTTGTATAGGTTGAACTAAGACAAACATATTTGCTTTAATCTTTTAATATTTATAATAATAAGTATAATACATATAAATAGAAAATATCAAGTATAAAATATAATATTTTAATGTATTTTGTTTTATAGGTTGAAAAAGCTCCTTGAACAAGAAAAGGCTTACCAAGCCCGTAAAGAAAAGGAAAATGCTAAGAGGCTCAATAAACTAAGAGATGAGCTTGTGAAACTAAAGTCCTTTGCACTCATGCTGGTGGATGAAAGACAAATGCATATTGAGCAACTTGGCCTGCAAAGCCAGAAAGTACAGGATCTCACTCAGAAACTGAGGGAAGAAGAAGAAAAACTCAAAGCCATTACTTCCAAATCCAAAGAAGACAGGCAGAAATTGCTCAAGTTAGAAGTGGATTTCGAACACAAGGCTTCGAGGTTTTCCCAAGAGCATGAAGAGATGAATGCTAAATTGGCTAATCAAGAGTCTCACAACAGGCAACTTCGACTCAAGCTGGTTGGCTTAACGCAAAGAATTGAGGAGCTAGAAGAGACCAACAAAAATCTTCAAAAGGCAGAGGAAGAACTTCAGGAATTAAGAGATAAAATTGCCAAAGGGGAATGTGGCAACTCCAGCCTCATGGCAGAAGTGGAAAATCTACGGAAGCGCGTGCTTGAAATGGAGGGTAAAGATGAGGAGATCACTAAAACGGAATCCCAGTGCAGGGAATTGAGGAAGAAATTACAAGAGGAAGAACATCATAGTAGGGAGCTCAAAATCGAAGTTGAGAAGTTACAGAAAAGAATGTCTGAACTGGAGAAATTGGAAGAAGCATTTAGCAAGAGTAAATCTGAATGCACCCAGCTACATTTAAATCTAGAGAAAGAAAAGAACTTAACCAAAGACCTGCTAAATGAATTGGAGGTAGTCAAGAGCCGAGTTAAAGAACTGGAATGTTCCGAAAGTAGATTGGAAAAGGCTGAATTAAGCCTAAAAGATGATCTTACAAAGTTGAAGTCATTTACTGTGATGCTGGTTGATGAAAGGAAAAATATGATGGAAAAAATAAAGCAAGAAGAGAGAAAAGTGGATGGACTCAATAAAAATTTTAAGGTGGAACAAGGAAAGGTCATGGATGTAACTGAAAAACTAATCGAAGAAAGTAAGAAGCTTTTAAAGCTGAAGTCTGAAATGGAGGAAAGAGTATACAATTTGACAAAAGAGAGGGACGAGTTAGTAGGCAAACTGAAAAGTGAAGAAGAAAAATCGTCTGAATTAAGCTGCAGTGTTAACTTATTAAAGAAGAGACTTGATGGGATAGAGGAAGTGGAGAGAGAAATAACCAGAGGAAGGTCTCGGAAAGGACCTGAGCTCACCTGCCCGGAAGACAACAAGATTAAGGAACTAACGCTTGAAATTGAGAGACTGAAGAAACGTCTCCAACAACTGGAGGTGGTCGAAGGGGATTTGATGAAGACGGAGGATGAGTATGATCAGCTGGAGCAGAAATTTAGAACTGAGCAAGATAAGGCCAATTTCCTCTCTCAGCAACTGGAGGAGATAAAGCACCAAATTGCCAAGAACAAAGCAATCGAGAAAGGTGAGGCTGTGAGCCAGGAAGCGGAGCTGAGGCACAGGTTTCGGTTGGAAGAGGCTAAAAGTCGAGACTTAAAAGCTGAAGTGCAAGCTCTTAAAGAGAAGATTCATGAATTAATGAACAAAGAAGATCAGCTTTCTCAGCTCCAAGTGGACTATTCTGTCCTTCAACAAAGATTTATGGAGGAAGAAAATAAGAACAAAAACATGGGACAGGAGGTCCTCAATCTGACCAAAGAGCTGGAGCTTTCCAAGCGTTACAGCCGAGCTCTAAGACCCAGTATGAATGGGAGAAGAATGGTAGATATTCCTGTGACCTCGACTGGAGTGCAGACTGATGCTGTCAGCAGCGAGGCAGCAGAGGAAGAAACCCCAGCAGTATTTATCCGGAAATCCTTTCAAGAAGAAAATCATATCATGAGCAACCTTCGACAGGTGGGATTGAAAAAACCTATGGAACGATCCTCTGTTCTCGACAGGTATCCTCCAGCAGCAAATGAGCTCACGATGAGAAAGTCGTGGATTCCCTGGATGAGGAAAAGGGAAAACGGGCCCTCGATTACTCCAGAGAAAGGGCCCCGAACAAATTCCAGTCCCGGGCACCCAGGAGAGCTGGTTCTTTCACCAAAGCAGGGCCAGCCGCTGCATATTCGAGTGACACCAGACCACGAGAACAGTACTGCGACGTTGGAGATAACAAGCCCTACATCCGAAGAATTTTTCTCTAGTACCACCGTCATTCCTACATTAGGGAATCAGAAACCAAGGATAACCATTATTCCATCACCAAATGTTATGTCTCAAAAAACAAAAAGTGGAGACGGTATTCTCGGCCCCGAACGAGCCATGTCCCCGGTCACAATTACCACATATTCCAGAGAGAAAACCCCGGACAGTGGAAGAGGCGCATTTGCGGACAGGCCCACATCCCCCATTCAGATAATGACAGTGTCTACATCAGCTGCCCCGGCTGAGATTGCAGTCTCTCCTGACGCCCAGGAAATGCCCATGGGAAGGACTGTCCTCAAAGTCACCCCAGAAAAACAGACTGTTCCAACGCCACTACGGAAATACAACTCCAATGCCAATATCATAACCACAGAGGACAATAAAATCCACATTCATTTAGGTTCTCAGTTTAAACGGTCCCCTGGGGCTTCAGCAGAAGGAGCAAGTCCAGTTATCACTGTGCGACCTGTCAGCGTGACAGCGGAAAAGGAGGTCTCCACCGGCACTGTCCTCCGCTCTCCCAGGAACCACCTCTCCTCACGGCCTGGTGCAAGCAAAGTGACAAGCACCATCACCATAACCCCAGTCACAACCTCCTCCACTCGAGGAACCCAGTCAGTGGTGAGTGGAAGAGGTTCTAAGGTGCAGGGCGAGGGAGGGAGGAAGAAGTGAGGAGTGAGAATAACCCAACGCCCCAAATAAAGCAAAGGCAAATGCCTCTCGCGCCACCTGAACCCACTGGCAGATGTTTCCTAGAGGACTAGGTACACCAGGAAATAGAAATAAAAAGTGGCCTAATATTTTAATAAATTGAGCTTATTTTTTCTATCTTCACCTGAGGATATGTTTATTGATTTTAGAGAAACAGGAAAGGAGAGAGACAGACAGAGAGAGAAACATTGAACGATTGCCTCCCATATGTACCCCAACCGTGATTGAACCCACAGCCTAGGTATGTGCCCTGACTGGCAATCAAACCCACCACCTTCTGGTGTACAGGACAGTGCTCCAACCAACTGAGCCACTAGGCTGGACATGAGCTAATTTTGAGGGGAAATTTTTTTCGTGTAAGTTATGGAGACACCTCCCCCCAATACTTTCAAAGATGGCCTCTTTGCAATGTCAGCATACAGTGATAATGTTTAAAATTTGATTTTTTTATGTTTAAAATACTTTTTAAAATGGAGACTGGGGGAAAACAGTGAAATAGGCAAGAAAAATTTAAGCTGTTCCCAGGTTATATTTCTATAAGCTACACTATTCAATATGTGATTATGTATGATCATAGTCATACTTTCTTCCAAAAAATGATATTGAAAGATTTTAATATTTTAAAAAAAATTTGAAATAAAATAGAAGTGAGTTTATATGTCTACATACTATATTTTATTAATAGTATCTTGCAGAGAGCAGGTGCTTGACAAATATTACTTAACAACCAGCTGGAAGGCTAAATGAATGATAATAAAAAAAAGTGTGTCCAAAGTATAAAATCCAGAACTTAAAAATAAGTTCTAGTTTTGAAAATAGACTGTCTTCATTTATTGGGGACAAATTGGCAAATGAAATTATAGAAGACCATGTACTACTTAGATATTAATTTAAGCAAACTAGAAATTATGATTCCTAGACTCTGAGCAAATTCTGCAACATATATTGGAAACTCTTAAGAACGCTATTTACTTAAGTATAGAAGTTATGGCTTATTTTCCCACATCTTCAATACAATTTACTTTTAATTCTCTGTGTACAAAGATAGACTCAAGACAGAGTTCAATATGTGAATCAGTAATTGCTTTGCCAGCAAAGCTTTTTATTACGAGCTCTATAGGAGCTGAATAGCATTCAGAATTGCTCGTCCTTCTCAAAATTCAATATTGCTTTTTGGGCAATACAGAGCATAGCTTGAATTTTTATAAAGAGACAACGGAAGTGTAATTGAGAGCAGGTTTCTCTGCTGGAACATCTTATTCTCATTTTAAGGGTCAGATCAAGATGGCCTTACCTTCTGTAGCAACATCTGTGACGACCAATTAAACCCCGTAGACAAATAGGATTTCAAAACAGCTAAGATTTCTAAGGCCTGAATAATGGCCCACCTACTTCAGGTATATCTGATCCCATTAAAGTAAGAACAAGAAGTTTGGGAAATCAAATAGTGAGGCTAGTTTATTTGTTAATTTATTATTGAAGTATTGAATTAATTGCGTACTAGCTACAGTTTAGCCACTGGGTTAGGTGCTGACTGCAAAGAGGACCTTTAGAAGCTCTCAGCTTAGTGGGAGAGTCAGGACTGGAACCTACCTTCTGGTTCTCTGGTAGAAGTACGCACATAGGAAGCACTAGAGAAGGCTTCACAGAGGAGGAGGTTTTCACAGACAAGGATTTTCAGGAAGGGAAGGTGCAGGTAGAGAGAACAGCATGTGCAAAGGTATGGCAGTGTGGAGGAGCCTGCGGTGTTTGGGGAAGGGTGAGCAGTCCCACTGTGCAGCAGCAGTGAGGCATGGCGACAGAATGCAAGGAGAGACAAACTGGGGGCAGATGGTGAAGAGAGGAGGTGCAGGTCTTACTATGAAATTTGGGTTTAATCTCATAGAGTAGATAAAGGGTGTTGAAAGGGTAAAGATGATTTGAAAACATTAAACTATTTATGTTTTAGAAAGATATGTGTATAAAACAGTTTAAAGGATAAATTGGAGGGGACAGAGGCTGAGGGCAGAGACACCGTGGCAATTCTCTAGGCTAGAGATGGTGTAGGCTTGAGCTATGGCAGGGAAAATGAGGGCAGAGCTATATTGGAGACGGAATTGAAGATTTCATGACAAATTGAGTATGAAGGACGGCTCTGAGGTTTCTGGCTTGGATGTATGGGTGGATAGGATAAGAAACATAGGAAGACTACTGTCTGGAGGAGAAGATAAGTAATGGTTGGGGGGTGTTATATTTGAGATGCCTGAGGGACACTGGGAATGTTTAGCGAAGTAGTTGGAAACCTGGATCTGTTTTAAGGGGAGCATTGAAGGCTTACGGTCTGGAACTTGTCAACACCTGGAGTGATAACTGAGGTGATTTTCAGCGTGAAAGCAAAAAAATTAAAAGAGGGCTAAGGATGGAATATGGCGATGCCCACATTTTGCAGGCAGCCAAGCTGGAACAAGGAGCCAAGCCAGCAAGAGATTAAAAAGCAGTCATCACAACCGGATGTGATGGGTGAGATTCAAGTAACAAATTATGGCAAGAGAGTTTTAGAAGCACTTCAAGAAAGAGGGTGTGGTCATCAGTGACAGTAAAAAATGAGAAGAGTCTGAAATCTTAGGAGGTAAAAGGAGAGCTGGCTAGTTAAAGGAAATGGAGGAGCCCTAGCTGGTTTGGCTTAGTGGATACAGTGTTGGCCTGCAGATTGAAGAAAGTGGAGGCAATTTGGGGGAACAGTAGGAATAAAACTGCCTGAGTTTATGCCAGGCCTGTATTTTCTCTGTGAAATAGGAGGCAAGGTCATCTTCAGTAAGGGTAGAGGAGATAGGGTTGGAGCTTGAGAAGAGAAGGAAGTTAGGCATAGATACTTCAGGAGAGAACAGGAGGCAATCAGAGTGGATTAGATACTGACTCCAAGTTTCTAACGATAATTTTGCTTGGAGAGGGGTTATCTGTGGCAAGAGTCCTGCTCTCGTTCAGAGCGAGCACATCCAGGGGGAAACTCACGACCATCTCCTTTGTGTTTCTGTGTTTTTGTCTTTTACAGTCAGGACAAGACGGGTCATCCCAGCGGCCTACACCCACCCGCATTCCTATGTCAAAAGGTATGAAAGCAGGAAAGCCAGTAGTGGCAGCCCCAGGAGCAGGAAATCTGACCAAATTCGAGCCTCGAGCTGAGACTCAGTCTATGAAAATAGAGCTGAAGAAATCTGCAGCCGGCAGCGCTACCTCTCTTGGAGGGGGGAAGGGCTGAGGGCAGTGGCTGAGGGGGTATGTTGTGCAGATGCTACTGCTACGGTGAAAACAAACCTTCGTCCGTTCGTGCCAATTCTTTACATGTACTAATTTAAGTTTTAAATACCTTGTTTATAAAGTAATCTACTAATAGCCATATGTCTTTCCTATTTTGTAAATTTGTTTTGATGCTGGGGAACTAACCAACAAAACTACTGTTTGCCGTGTGCTTGGTGGAGGAAGCTGGGCCTGAGGCTGGAGCTTGACATCTGGTCCCCGTTTTGCTTCTAGAAAATGGATCCATCAACTAACCCATCTGAACCTCAGTTTCTTTATCAGTGAGATATGGGCGCTGAATAAACTCCTCTCCAAAGCCTGCTCCCATATTTCTTGATGGTAAATCACATTTAATAGCCTTGTTCCACAGTAATTGATTTTTCAAAAATTCTATTATGAAATAGGAAGTAGTTTAATGATTGCCATTTGCCTCTGTCAAATCCCAAATTTGCTTCTTGTGCTGGAACATCTAGTTATCACAGGGCCTGGAGCTCTAAAGTTTTGCCAAAACAAAAGCCTCTGATTTCAGGAAATAATTTGAATGTGAAATAAAATGGAAATGAAATATGGAGTCCTAAAACAGAGTTTTACTTATTTGTGTGTGTCTGTGTGCATGGTAGATAGAGGTTTTGGCCATCTCAAAAACATTCCCAGAGTTTCATAGACAATAATTTTAGAGCCATTAATGTCATACTCTTGTTCTATTCAAGTGCGCAATTGATTTAAATCCTGGAGCGGTTTGAATAGAGCCACCAAATGGCCCCTTATGGCTCAATAGAGGTTGTAATGGGTAGGAAATAGCAGGAAGTAAATTCTGATATGTTAATGCCAAGAAAAAACATGACATCATACAGACCTTAATTGAATTGAATATTTTCCTCAGTTAACTGTGAACTTTATTTGCAAATATAAAATCAGTTCGTGATTGTGTGTGTGTGTGTGTGTGTGTGTGTGTGGTAGAGAATGGGATTATTATTCCTGTCATTTTTACTTGTGTTTGTATCATTTTCATTAATTTTAAGCATGGTTTAATCAGCATGAAGCAGTGTGTGAGTGCAAAATGCCAGGTGTCTTTGTGGGGAGACTAACCATGTTAAAGTAGACACGGCTTCATAGTCAAATAACCACAAATGAGCTCAAGGCTAATAACCTGCAGCATAGGATACGAGGTCTTACGTAGGCAGCAGATTTGTCAAGATTTTTGATTCAATGGGGGGAAGATAAAAAAGAACAGATGATTGGTTTTTAGCCCTTGATTCATCATCCTTCATGATAAATAGTCTCTTCTCAAAGTTCTTTTCACACCAGATTTCCTATCCCTTACAGAACTTGGACTTGAATTACACACGATGGTGGTAGATGCCTCACAGTATTTACATTCACTTTAATCCGATCTCTGTTGCCTACAGCTCATCAGTTCTCAGCATATATATTTTAAAATGTTGAGCAACCATGAGAGACATGCCATAATAATGGGATTTCAAGGTAGAAAAGCAGAGAGACTGAGAATGAAGATTTTATGAAATATGACTTTGAACAAGTTTAAATAAGAGATCTTTCCATTTTGAATACTGCCTTGTATTTTTTTAAAAGGGAATTTCCCCCCTTTTGTAAAGTGGACACAATCCTTTTCAAAATCAAGGACATTCTATGGCATTTAGGGTATTTATTGCTACTGTACCATAACATACTGAATTTAAGCAACTGAAGGTGTCAAAAGTATGAAACACTGCATTCCTTTTGACTTTACCTGCCATTTTTCCGTGACTTTTATCATAATCTTATTGTCCCTGTTGCTGTTTTTGCTTTTACCTGCTCACATCATGCTTACGTCGTTTCTGCCTGGAAGGCCATACCAGCTGCAGGGAGAGCACTCCAAAAGGCTTAGCAGTGCATGTACAGGATGTTTATACATCTGGACCTTGGAACAGAGCCACCTGCAAAGTACAACTACTAAGAAAACTTGGCAGAACAACACATATTCACTTTTCAGAAATGATAAAGAGCAACTGCCATGGCAGTTTTTCTTTGTAATTTTAGAATCAACTCTACATTTATTGGATAACTTTGTTCTAAACCACATATCAGAAATGAAATCCACTGGGGCCAGGAGGTGGAGGATTAAAAGCACTCCAACTCCAGCTTCCATTCGTGAGTATAATGTTTTTAAGATGCAGTTGAATGTACTTTTATAAGAGTGAATGGGATGAAAAGGTTAGAGTCATTTCCCTGTCCTGGAACATAGCATTGTGTAGTAAAATAAAAGGGGTCTCACCAGAGCTGCCACAGCTGCTGCTCAGTCCCTCCCTGGGGGAGGAGTGTCATTTCCACAGATTTCAATGTGATGGTGCCCCCCAGAGGACGTGCAGGGCTCCATCTTCACAGGGACAGAGGAGGCCCTGGTATTCTCTTCCTGAGAATAATTATGTGCTGACAAGTAGCATGCATGATGGTCAGTACAAACTTTTCTATATGGGACATGGCCCTAAGGGTATTTATTATTTCTTGAAAATGACCTTCCTAAGTCACCTGCTTAATCGGAGTCATTCAGTTGCTACTGCATTTTTATCAGATTTTCATTGAGGACAAGTTAATGCATGACAGTGGGCTTGCTAGAGATTTTAGTGTCTTCATTAAGGGTACGGTATTAAGGTCTCTTATTGAATATCTTCAGGAAGAGAGTGAAGAAATAGCTCTGATGTGCCATGTGGGAAGAGTATAATTTCAGGGAAATAAATATGTCCAAGAATGTAAAATGCAGAGATTTGAATTTCTCATTCCTTCATAGCTTTAGAATACTAGGGAAAGAGTGAGACTTTCCTGATTGGAAACCCCCAGGGATATTAGATAGGAAGAGCTCATTTATGTGGGAGGACAGAGGACAGAGAGAGAAAGGAAGCGGCAGCAAGATGGCCACAGAGATGGTTTCCCAGTAAACAAAGATGTTTGATTCTAAAATTTCTTCAACCCAGACGAAGGCTAGTGTTTACCATCTACCTCCTCCTCCAGGGTCTCCTCATTAGTTAGCTCCTCAATCTCTGCTCTTTCAACTTCTCCTTTTCAGTTGTTACCTCCACACCAGATATAAATATGCTCTGGTCCCTTTTATTTTATAACAATTCTTTCTTCAGCTGTGCAGTCCTCTACAGCTACTGCCCTGTCTCCCTCCTGCCAAGTTAAGCCATTGACAGACACTCAAACTGCAATGCCTCCATTTCCATACTTTCCATTTATCTTGAATTACTTTTTATTACTGTTAATTTGTATCCATAGTTAAAATATCAGCCAGTGGTAAAAGATCATGAAAACATTTGTTCCTTACCTTACTGTCCTTTTCCCTAAGTTGTGCCCCCTGGAGAAAATAATTTCTAACTCTTAGATGTTTCTCCAGATTACTAAATAACATACTTGTATTCTGGCTTTTTATTCATCAATTTTAGATATTAATTTTTGTCTTCCCATTATTGTCTTGATGGTTGAGGATTTAATCCTCTCACATGTCCTGTCTTTCCCCTTTTCCCATCCTCCCAATATGATTATATCATAGTGTTTTTTTTCTGATCCTCACCCAAGGACATGTTTTCATTGATTTTTAGAGAGAAAGGAAGAGAGAGAGAGAGAAAGAGAGAAACATTGATCTGAGAGAGAAGCATTGATTGGTTGCTTCTTGTACATGCCCCAACTGGGGAATCGAACCCACAACATAGTTATGTGCTCAGACTGGGAATCAAACCTACAACCTTTTTTGGTGTATGGGACAATGCTCCAACCAACTGAGCCAACCAGCCAGGGCCACACATTTTAAAAAATAAATCACCAGTCAGCATTTGAATGTTATATATTCATATGTTTCTGGTATAAATTTAAATATTGTTTCTTGCTGAGTCAAGTAGTACACTATGACTATTTCCTTCTTATCACTTTCCCCTTTCAAATGAATAATTGCTTAATTTTTCATCTGCTTGGTTTTCTATGTATCCATCTTTACTTTTTCCAAATGCTCCAATAGGTCTGCCAAGCACCTACCAAACCAAACACATCATCAGTTTTACGTTTTTTGCAGGAGGCCTTCCTAGTTCAGTCCTCTGCTTCCCTACTTACTCTAGACTGCTTTGTCCTCTAGGCCTGCTGCACAGCTGTCTTGCTGTCCTTTTGCCATGTTAAACCCTCTGTTTTCTGGATTTCTTATCTTCTACTACTTCCTTTGCCTAATTCTTTCTTCCTTTCTCCCTCCCTTCCTTCCTTCCTTCCTTCCTTCCTTCCTTCCTTCCTTCCTTCCTTCCTTCCTTCCTTCCTTCCTTTCCTCCACCTCCTCCTCCTCCTCCTTTTTCTCCTCCTCTTCCTCCTCCTCCTTCTCCTTCTCCTTCTTTTCCTTCTTCTTCTGTCTGTCTGTCTGTCTGTCTGTCTATTTTTTGGAGTATACCTCCCAATAGTTTCTACAGAGAAAAATCCTCTCTGGGAATAGGTCAGGAGAGGGGACATGGAGAGTCTCATAGTTCATTGTGTCAACTTTTCCACTCCCCTGTATTCAGTCTGTGCTGCTAATTCTTTACGTAGGTTGGTTTTTCAGAAAATAAATTTCTAGTCTCTGGAAAGGGTGAAAACAGAATGAGGTTATGCTCTTTTTCCTCTGTGACCAAGACATCTAATCTCCTCTGGTTTTCCTTTGACCTCTCTGGGCTGCTCTGCCTCAGTCTCCCTTGATGGCTCCTCGTTTTATGCTTACATCTTTTTTTTTCTTTTTTTTAAAAATATATTTTATTGATTTTTTACAGAGAAGAAGGGAGAGGGAATAGAGAGTTAGAAACATCCATCAGCTGCCTCCTGCACACCCCCCACTGGGAACGTGCCTGCAACCAAGGCACATGCCCTTGACCAGAATCGAACCTGGGACCCTTCACTCCACAGGCCGAGGCTCTATCCACTGAGCCAAACCGGTTAGGGCTATGCTTACATCTTAAGGATTGTTGTTCCCTTGT